ATATATATTATTTCGTTCTATGTGTATTTTGATATATATATATATATATTAATTTCACAATACAGTTAGAACGAAATAACACACATCTATATATTTTTTAATTATTTATTTTTAATTATTTTTGTAATTTTATTTTTAACGTATTTACATTTTAATTTTTTTTATAATATATATAAATATATATATAACAATAATTATATATATATTTAATCAGTATCAGTGTACGTGTAATTTGATATTAATATATATATATATATAATTATATATATATTAATAGTAAAATACACCTAGACGCTGTACATGTGTGTATGTATATGTGTATATATATACTTTGATCATATATATATAATATATATATATATGATCTAAGTATATATAATTTTATTTTTTTACACTTTTAACTTATTTTACTTTTATTTTCAGCCAGCAGGGGGACCCCCTGTAATTACAGGCAGCCCCCCTGCTGGCAATACAGAAGCCAGCTATACTCGGCCATGTGATTGTGGGGTCCTCGCTAGGACCCCACTCTCACACGGCCGGGGGGCTTCCTGGAGGACGGTCGTGCCGCGGGGGGCTCCCTGGGAGTCCCCCCCACCGCGATCGCCGGCGTGGGACCGCCGGCGACCGGGTAAGTACAGAAAGACCGGAGGGCGTACTATTACGCCCGGCGGCGTTTAGAGCCGCCTATTAGAGGACGTAATAGTACGCCCTCCGGTCTTAAGGGGTTAAAATGCAATTTAGAACTAAAAAAATAAAAAAAAATCGTATTTTCTCCCATTTTTTTCATATTAAATTATGTTTCATAGCTAAATATTTGATATTAAATGAAAGCCCTGTTTCCCCTGAATAAAATGATATATAATAAGGGTGGGTGCATTTACTATGAAAGAGGTGTATTACGGTTGACAGACATGTAGCGCAAATGCCAGGTTTTGTTTACATTTTGTTTTGTTCACAATGTGTACATTTGGCTCCGTCCTTAAGGGGTTAAGGGGTTAAACATCTGTATGGACTCTGATAAAACCACCTCTTAAGGGAGAAAATTACATATCCTTACTGCTCTTACTGTAAAAAAAAACTTTTCTTTGCCTTAGATGAAATCTCCTTTCTTCCAGCCTCAACACGTGACCTTGTGTCCTATGTATAGCCCTGTTTATAAACAGACTCTCAGAAAATGGTTTGTACTGGCCCCAATTATATTTGTGTAATTTTATCATAACCCCTCTGAGGCGCCATTTTTCCAAACTAAAGATTTTACATTTTTTAACCTTTCTTCATAACTAAAATGCTTCATTCCTTTTATCCATTTTGTAGCTGGTCGCTGCACTTATTCTAGTGCCATGATATCCTTCTTTAGAACAGGTGCCCAAAATTGCACAGCATATTCAAGGTGTGGTCTTACCAGCAATTTATAAAGAGGCAAAATTATATTTTCATCCCGAGAATTTATGCCCCTATATATACACATGAGAAAACCTTACTGGCCTTAGCAACTGCAGATTGACATTACATATTGCTGTCTAATTTGATGTCTATAACAATTCCCAAATCCTTCTCGTGTGTGTTTATCCCTAATTCATTACTATTTAGGGCGTAAGTTGCTTGTGCATTCTTGACCCCAAAGTGCATAACGTTGTATTTCTCTACATTAAATTCCATCTGCCATTTTAGTGCCCAGTCCCCTAATTTATCTAAATCCCTCTGCAGCAAAGCAATATCTTGTTTACATTTTATTACTTTATAAAATTTTGTGTCATCTGCAAACACAAAAACATAGCTTTCAATTACTATTTTAAGATCATTTATAAATATGTTAAATAGAAGCGGTCCCAAAACAGAGCCCTGAGGGACACCACTTACCACTTTTGTCCAGCCTGAAAATTTACCATTAATGACAATCTGATATCTACATAGACAGACTGTTGATATCTGTCTCTATGTGGTTCCCATACATTGCACATCTGACTGCTATTGACATACCATATGCAGCAGGTGCTATTTTTGATATAGCAGTTAATTTTATTGTCACATAACGTACAGAAAAGTAAAAAGTATCAGCGCTAATATACCTTACTTAAAGATATTATAATAAAAAAATGAAATTAGGCGACAGACCTCAAAACATATGGCTCCCTCTAAGCCTTAAACACAGAGATAGGTCAAACAGGGGGGGTCGAGGTAGAGAATATAAAGACAGATTTGTAAAAACATATATATAAAAAATTACATAAAAAAAAATAAAAAAATAAAATAAAAAGAATGTCCAAATATAAGTCCCAATGTAAAAACTTGCCAGAAGATAAAACCTCAAATGATCAGGGTAGTTCTTTTAGAATGGGGTCAGAGGAGAGTGTTCTTAGCATCCATATATGAAACAGAAATAGAGAACTAATGGTGAAGAAAATCCTAGGATAATTTAAAAATAAATAAAAAAGTGTCTATGGTCCTACTCACAATTGATAGAGCTTAACCTAGCTCTAGTCCGAATGGTGTACAGTGGTACAATCCGCACTTATAGAATACATGAGGAGGTGTAAGTAGGCACATGTGTAATCGGTATGAAGATCATAAAAAATATAATAGAGACAACAATAGTGTTCAGTGTAAAAGGTACCAGGAGTATAGAGTAATGAATGGGTACTCACATTCAATTGAGCAGGCTAACTGCTCAATGTATAGGCATAAGTCAGACTGAATACTTCCCATCATTTCTACCCAAAGTTCCAGCACCAATTTATTGGGGCTCGGATCACGACATCTCGGCTTACGCTTGCAGCAAAAAACTGAACAAGTCTTTCCAACATCGGGTGGGTGTGGACCGGTGTTCTTCTCTACCCGGCTGCTGGGGCGGCGAACAGGGTAAGTGATACTAGGATTTCCCCAGAGCTTTTTCAGGCTTGGAGTTTTGTCCCAGCACACCCTTAGCAGAGCCACGTTAGCCGGAGGGGTTTAAGAGCTCCATGTCCCACCTACCCAGTAGATTTAACATGCATGTACCTTCAGCTTTCTACTGGCAGAATCTCTTCCCGTCTTTTTAACATCAATATATATTTTTCACCTAACATTGGACTTACTGTTTATTTTTTGTCACTTATCTGATAATTCTCCAGTGAAGGGGCCCCTCACTGGAGACACTTCAATATTGTCTTCAGAATTTTAATCTCACATACATACATACACACATATATATATATATATATATATATATATATATATATATATATATATTATGTTTTATCTCATATCTTTTATTGAATAAATATTATTGATGTAATTGGTTAAGATCTTTGGTTAAGATCTTTTATCCTTAGGGGTTGCTGAATCAGTTAGTGTCACCTTTTATTTTATATGCTTCTACACTTTAGTTTGTTGGTATTCAGAGGTTATACTATGTACTCTGTTTTATTACATTTCTGACATATCAGCTGTGTTATAGTTTTTACCATCAGACATTAACTGATGCTACGGATCGATAACTTTCAGATGATTCACTGTTTAGATCTTTTGTATTTTTTTTACTGCTGAAATATATATATATATATATATATATATTTTACGTTTCTTTGGAGCGCTCACTCACACATATGTTGATTTATCTCAATAACTAGTATCGCTCGTTTCTGTGTTGTGAAGCAGCCCACTCATTGTTTATAAGAATTGATTATTGATTTTACATTAATTTTGTTACCTTTTAGTTACCTATTTGTTTACTTTTTATCTATCGACATTATTTTAAACAACAACTATTTTTGGTTTTTATATTCAAAACCAAGGAACAGCAATGGGGACCAGGATTGCCCCTAGCGATGCTAACCTCTTCATGGCCAATTGGGAATCCATAGCCATCTGGGGCCAGGATGTTTGGAGGACAAACCTGGTCTCCTATTTTAGATATATAGATTATTTGGGGGGTTTTTTTATCTGGAAGGGTCCAGAAGATTCTCTTAAACTATTTTAAAATCATTTAAATAACATCAGCAATAATCAAAAAGTTGAGGATTCCTCTATTTATGTTTTTTCTTAGGTGTGAGGAAATGGATCATTACATGGTTAAAATTTTAAAATTGTCACAACTTGTTTTTATCTAAAGAAGTGGCAAATTTGGTGCAGTTTCAGCAAACCACAGATCAAAGTGTGAATAATATATAATAATACATCTAGGCAAGAAGAGACCAGAGTGCAACTTTTGCTTAATAGACGTGTGCATTCACTTTCTCCCAAATTGCAATTGATCTGAATTTATTGCGATCGGCTAATGAACCAAATTCTATAACTCAGAAACGTCATATGGGTGTATAAGCAACATATAACACGTGCAAAGAATGAGTATGTTTGTTTGATTCAGATTTTCAGTTGTGGTGCCAAAAAAAAATGAAATGATTGTTGGGAAAGAAAAATGATTGATGGTTTTGGAACAGCCACTAATTGTTGATTTTAGTTACAGATCAAGTAAGTAATAAAGGTAAATAGGATAACAAAGAAGGAGTAGTAAAAAGATATATCTTTATAGATTATATATTTGATGAATATGTATATATTGATTTTTTTTTCCTGTTCCTTCCCTCTCTTGATCTGTGAACTAAATGGCATGAAAAGGTTCCTATTAGTGTACTTTAACATATATTATACAATATATTTTGCAGTGCACTAACTGGACAATTTTGGTTGATACAAATAGTTTCTTCCTTGCATGATATTATGATGAGCAGAACCGTCACATGGAAAACGATCATACTACCAAAACTACATTTTATTTTTGTATAAAGTGATTCATGCACAAGAGCATTGCTTATTCGTATTTTAATTAACAAACTCCTGTAAGAAAAAGACAATCGTCCTGTTATGGATAATAAAAAAAAAAAAATAAAAAAATAAAAATAGATAAACTCCATAAAACCAAGACACAGTCTAGAAATTCTAGACCTATAATGTCCTTCTCTAATATAAAGTAAATACCAAATGGACGGTGATATCAAACAGAACCTTGACAAAGGATAACTTCCAGATATCAGACTGGAAGAATCCATGAAATTTTAGACATAGTGTTGGATGAAAACAGTCATCCCCTGACAGGAAAGGTAGAAACCAATAACACAAGGTAGATATTACTAGGCAAGTTCATGAAGAATCGCATCATTTAGATTAGAAAAAAAATAAAAATCAGTATGGACCATAGAAATTGTGGAAACTACTAAATTATAAGTAATCAATGCAGGCCAACAACGTCAACCTAAATGCAAAGTTAAAAATATTGTAAATTGTACTAATTATTTCAAACAGTAGAATAAAATTGATTAGAGACTGTTGTGAAATGTCAGTAGGAGATAGGCAGAACACCGATTAAAAGGTGGTAACCAGAGGTACAGGATCCATTGTGGCAACAGCCACATAATAAGCAGGATAGTAGAAGATATTCAGCTATCCTTATGAGAACAAGCAACCAAATACTTACACTGACTTTATCTGCAGATAGTGATGAAGTACTTATGGTAGAGCCTATGGTAATAAGACCATTCTGCAGTTTGTTTTATCTGCAAAGATATTAACACCAGTCCAAGCATAATTACAACAATGCATGGTTAGGAATGACCATCACATATATGGATCTAGGTACAGAGACCATGTGAAATATATCATCCAAATGTTTGTCACAAACAAGCTACGATATTATATTATACAGGATGACTCAACAGCTTAAAGCCATATATTATAGTACAGAATAATAATATACACGCTGTGAAAGACAAATAAGTAGCTCTAAAACACCTAAAAGAGTGGTATCCCTTACACCGCTAAAAACATAATATAATACATACAGAGTTATAGGTGGAGCTGTGGAGTACCTTGAACAATAAGGATGGAGTCATACCGTCATATGACTCTTAAAGTATGTTCTCTTGGACCATTAGGGGGTTGTCCAAACCCTTCTTTTGTTGATTGCTTGTTATTTCTCCTGATGGTCTTCAATAAAGATACTCAGTATGCCAGGGATCTTGGAAAATAATTCTTGTTTATTTGTAGATAAATAATAAAATGGCAATATACTAAACCAATATATATTGGGTGTAGATATAGTCCAATAAAAAGTCTATCAAAGTTGAAAATGAGTGTCCAAAACGCGTTTCGCCTGATTAACAGGCTTCCTCAGTTGGCTCTAATGTTTCTTCCAAAGTTTTCTTTGTTTGAAAATGCCGCCGGCCGGCTGTGTCTTCTTTTATATGGCACTTCCTGATTCCGTCTGGTGGAACGCAACGTGCGCTCCACCTACGGCACCAACTTCCGGGACGCACCGCAAGTGGAACGCACGTGCGCCCCAACCCCGTGCGCACACCGGAACTTCAGCACCAACTTCCGGGTGGAGCGCCCGTGCGCTCCAACCCGGCGCCAACCTCCGCAATGCACCACAAGTGGAACGCACGTGCGTTCCAACTTCAAGCAGCAAATTCACTTCCGGGTCTCTCTCTACTTCCGGGTCACACTCAGGTGGAACGCACGTGCGCTCCACTCCCAGCCTCACATCAGGTGGCCAAATGCAAACATAAAAAATGGCGTTCTGCCTATATTTACACCAATAGAGTGTGACATATAGAATTATAAGTGCTATGTTTTAAATAAAAATAATATAAAAAGTCAGATAATATGGAAAAGAGTAAAAATCAAATTTAATGAGAAGGAATAAAAACTAATTCTATTAGTTTTAGAAGATTGCTATCACAATCTTAAAGGGGCAGAATGTCATTTCTAGAAAATTTATAAAAATGCACAGTAAAAACTGAATAAAATACATATAATACCCAATAGTAAAAAAAACACAAAAATAGTATATAAGTGTATAAAAAGATGCCTAAAAACTTCCATAAAATAATATGAAACCAAGATAGGCTAAAACTAATGCATAAAGTGGCATAATTCAAAATCATTGTTCAGACCGTTTGGAATCATAGTGTCAAAATTGAATATGAACTTCATCTCTTCCTTTCCTAATTTGTTTACATAATCACCACCTCTCCAATCTTTTTTTACTAATTTTAAAGCACAAAAAAACATTCCTTCTGGATTTTGTTGGTGAACATGTTTAAAATGATTTGAAACACTATGGGTTTCGACTCCATTTTTGATGTTTCTTATATGTTCCGCTATTCTTAAATTCAATTTACGAATTGTACGGCCTACATATAGAAGATTGCAGGGACATTTTAAAATATAGATCACTCCCTTCGAATGGCATGTTAGATGATCTCTAATGGTAAATTTCTTGTTAATAATGGATTCTAGGTCTGTTAGGTGTCTTTTTTTATTCTTTGTATTTTTACATGCTAGACACTGTCCGCATCCATAAAATCCTTTACCTATTGTAAGGAAGGTTTGTCCTACTGTTTGTTCTTTATTACTACTTTTAACTAAAGTGTTTCTCAAGTTTTTTACACCTCTAAAGATGACTTTTGGTTTTTCTGGTAATATATTTTTAAGAATAGGGTCATCTTTTAGTATATGCCAATGTTTTCCTATAATTTTATGCATTTTCCTACTGTTGCCATGGTAGTTGCATATGAAGGGGATGTCTTGTTTCTTAATTAAATCTTTCTTTTTCTGTTTATATTTTAGAAGGTCTGTTCTTTGTATTTCTTGAACCTCATTTATGGCTAATTGGAGGGAAACATCGTCATAACCTTTTTCCAGAAATTGTACTTTAATCTTATTTGCTTGCTCTAAAAAGTCTTGTTCATTCGTACAATTCCTTCTTATACGTAGGAATTGTCCTTTCGGAGCGTTACTTAACCAAGGAAGGTAGTGACAACTCTCTCTTCTGATGTAGCTGTTGGCATCTACATCTTTAAAATGATTCTTGGTAGTAATAGTGCCATGTGTAATAAATATCTCCAAATCTAAAAAATTAATTTGTTGGGTGCTAGTTTGTGCTGTTAAAATAATATTCCACTGATTGTTATTCAAATGACTGATAAAAGATAGTAGATCTGTGTGGGATGCTGTCCAAACAAAAAATATATCATCTATATACCGGCGGTAGGATACCAAGCTCGCCCCCCATGGGTGCCCTTGATAAATAAACTGTTCTTCCCAGTATGCCATGAAGAGGTTGGCATAGCTAGGGGCGAACTTGGTACCCATCGCCGTACCTCTGATCTGTAAATAGAACGTCTCATTGAACCAGAAAAAGTTATTGGTTAAAACTAGATTGATCCCTTCTAAAATGAATAAAATTTGTTCATTCTTAAAACTGTGTTTCTTTAAAAAATATTCTACTGCTTCTAGACCCTTCTCGTGTGGTATGATACTATATAGGGATGTCACATCACATGTGACTAACAGGTTACCTTCTTGCCATAAAGTGGTTTCTAAGATTTGTAGAATATGAATCGTGTCCTTCAAATAAGCTGGATTTTGAACAACTAATGGTTGTAGGAGATGGTCTAGATATTCCGAGATTTTTGCTGAAACGGAGTTGACTCCCGATATTATAGGTCGTCCTGGGGGGTTGGCTTTGTTTTTATGTATTTTAGGGAGATGGTAATATACGGGCATTATTGGGTGGGGAGTGGTAAGGTATTTAGCTTCCTGCGAAGTCAGAATGCCATTCTCTAGTCCTTTAGATATATAATTGTCAAACTTCGTCTTCACCATTTCAGTTGGATTTTTGTCTAGTATTATATATGTATCTCGATCTGCAAGTATTCGCTCAGCTTCTAAAAGATATTTGTTTTTTGGAATGACCACCACCCCCCCACCTTTATCAGCTGGTTTAATTACTATCTCTTTGTTTTGTTGTAAGTCTTTCATTGCTCCCCTTTCCTTTCTAGACATATTTTGATGGTATTTGTTTAACGGCTTTATTTGTTTCACTTCTTTCATTACCATTAGTTCAAAAGCTTTTATTTCATCTGATATTAAGTGTTTCGGAAAAAAGTTGGATTTAGCTTTTAAGTCCGTATGTATATATTCTGACAAAGTGTTTTCACTGGGTCTGTCCTCTTTATTAAAAAAGAATTTCTTTAAGCATAATTGTCTAATAAATTTATTAATATCAATATAAAAATCAAATTTATTAATGTCGACTGTGGGGGCGAATTTTAAACCTTTTTGGAGTATCTCCATTTGTTCTTTGGGTAATTGTGTATCAGTTAAATTAAAAATTCCTTCTGTTGTTATTTTCTCCCCCTCTTTTCTCTGTGTGTGTTTTCCTCTCTTTCTATGTCTCTTTCTTGAGTTGATGACCTCTGACGTTTGCCTGGGGACTCCCAAATTTTGATATGTCGGGATTGTTTTAGTCTCTCTGAGATTGGGTCCTTCCATAAAAAAGAAGGTGAATGTTCTGTTCTAAATATGTCTGGTTTATTACCTATATCTACCCTAGAGGTGTGTGGTTGTCTCTCTGTTCTATTTGACACATATGTTGTGGGTACTGATTTTCGGTCATTTCTTTCAGGAATATTTGACTGTACAGCTTGACTGTAGCTGCTGTATTTAGGTCGTCTTACTGGGGATGGGTGGTATGGCTTAGTATTACCCCTTGGGTGTTTATTAAAGTTATCGTATCTCTGATATTCCTTTCTTGAGATATCGTGATACTTATTATATCTTGGATAATGTTTAGACGGTGTATTGTGATATTCTATTGTATTTTTGTGTCGCCTTATATCTTGCTCTGGTCTGTGTTGTGGACTATTTTGCCTTCTAGAATGGTGTTTTTTGTCCGTGCGTTCCACCTGAGTGTGACCCGGAAGTAGAGAGAGACCCGGAAGTGAATTTGCTGCTTGAAGTTGGAACGCACGTGCGTTCCACTTGTGGTGCATTGCGGAGGTTGGCGCCGGGTTGGAGCGCACGGACGCTCCACCCGGAAGTTGGTGCTGAAGTTCCGGTGTGCGCACGGGGTTGGGGCGCACGTGCGTTCCACTTGCGGTGCGTCCCGGAAGTTGGTGCCGTAGGTGGAGCGCACGTTGCGTTCCACCAGACGGAATCAGGAAGTGCCATATAAAAGAAGACACAGCCGGCCGGCGGCATTTTCAAACAAAGAAAACTTTGGAAGAAACATTAGAGCCAACTGAGGAAGCCTGTTAATCAGGCGAAACGCGTTTTGGACACTCATTTTCAACTTTGATAGACTTTTTATTGGACTATATCTACACCCAATATATATTGGTTTAGTATATTGCCATTTTATTATTTTATCTACAAATAAACAAGAATCATTTTCCAAGATCCCTGGCATACTGAGTATCTTTATTGAAGACCATCAGGAGAAATAACAAGCAATCAACAAAAGAAGGGTTTGGACAACCCCCTAATGGTCCAAGAGAACATACTTTAAGAGTCATATGACGGTATGACTCCATCCTTATTGTTCAAGGTACTCCACAGCTCCACCTATAACTCTGTATGTATTAAAGCCATATATTGGCTGCGAAGTCCAGATAGTAGTACGCCCAAAAGAATCTCCATGATAATTAGTAAAGAGGACAGAAAGGGACTTCATGTTCAGCAATTTCCCTTATTGTTCTGGTAGCAGGTGAATTTTACCTGAAATAGTAAACCTGGTAGAATAGTCTGTCGGCTGAAGGACCTTCCAATGTCATTTAAAATACTTGCAATAACCAACATCAAAGTTACATGGAGCATTTGAGCCCACAATAATACCTTTTATTGCAGAAAGGAAATTATAATGTTCCCCTTCACAACAGGGGAATCGGTGGGAAAGTCTGAAACTTAACCCCTTAAGAACCAAATAAATGCCAGCACTGACATTAAATTGATTGCCAAACTCAAGGTACCCAAGGGATAAAATAGCAGAATACTGAATAAAACAAATAACACATTCTTCAATTTATAAAGATTATGCGTTATGGAATTTAACTCAGTTCTAAAGAATATTCTAAAGCCTCCAGAGCATTGAGCTGAAATCTAAATAAAAATTATAAACCAGACCAGGGTTAGTGAAATTTTCAATGTAGAATTGTGCATAAAATAAAACATGATCACTAAAGTTATGACCAGGTGAAACAAAAAGTTCCATATCAACATATTTAAAATTAAAGTTAAAATTAGATTAGAGACAGTAATTGCTTCAAAGTTACCAACTTGTGAGGGCAATAAATAGCCCAAGAAGGCTACCTGCAAACAGTAGGATCTACTAAGCTGTGCATCTTAAGTCAGCAATACATATTAAGGTTGAACAGGGCCACCAAACTTAAAACCATTCAGTATCATGATCAGTGGTACCTGGCAAGAGAAATACCTTGATAACACCATATCTCATTTATATGCATAGGTGTGCACACATAAAACTCTATTAAAGCGGCACTGTCATGCCGAACTTACCTTTCCTCAATCTCTTCCTCTTCTCCCCCCCTCTCAGGATCTGTTATTCTTTTCTTCCTGTCTTCTTTTGTTTTCTTTAAAATTATAAGACAAAGTAGGGACTCTTTGCCTTATGGAGGATTCCTCCGCTTGACCAGCTCTGACCAGCGGAGGAGCAAAGTGTGCTTCATTTCCGCTGGTCAGAGCAATTTTCCCATAATTCTCACCTTCCGTCTTTGTTCCCGCGATGCTTCCTGTCACTTTACATGAAACTGCCGAACTGCCTAATGAAAACTGCCTAATGAAACAATAAGGGGGGGGGGACCTACTGTCCTCCCCCCCTGGCCCCCACCCCTGCGCAGTGGGTGGGGGCCCCAGTAAAACAATAAGGGGGGGGACCTACTGTCCTCCCCCCCTGGCCCCCACCCCTGAGCGGTGGGTGGGGGGCCTAATAAGCTAATAAGGGGGACTGCACAGCCGGTCAAATACTGTAGCCGGATTTTTTTATTTGGCCTTTTTGGGGGCTGAAGAAAGAAGATTTTAGAAAAAAGAAGACGTCAAATGGTAAGTTTAATTTTTTTTTTTTTTACAGGTTAGTTATTTTATTCCCCCCCTCACTATTTTTAGGGTGAGAGGGGTAGGTAGGGGATAGGTTTTAGGACCCCTAGTCACCTTGATTGGGGGGGGTGTTTCATTTAGGGCCCCCACCCAGCGCTCAGGCATGGGGGCCAGGGGGGGGAGGACAGTAGGTCCCCCCCTTATTGTTTTATTAGGGCCCCCACCCACCGCGCAGGAGTGGGGGACAGGGGGGGGAGGACAGTAGGTCCCCCCCCTTATTGTTTTACTGGGGCCCCCACCCACCGCGCAGGGGTGGGGGCCAGGGGGGGAGGACAGTAGGTCCCCCCCCCTTATTGTTTTATTAGGGCCCCCACCCACCGCGCAGGGGTGGGGGCCAGGGGGGGGGACAGAAGTTCCCCTCATATCTTTATTTAGGGCCCCCACCCACCGCTCAGGGGTGGGGGCCAGGGGGGAGGACAGAAGGTACCCCCCCTTATTGTTTTATTAGGGCCCCCACCCACCGTGCAGGGGTGGGGGCCGGGGGGGGAGGACAGTAGGTCCCCCCCTCATTATCTTCATGGCCCCCACCCGCCGCTCAGGGTGGGGGAGGGGGGGGACAATAGGTCCGCCCCCCCTTATTGTAATTTATGTTATTTTTTTTCAACAGTGAGCAGCCAAAGGCTGCTAACTGTTTAGTAGACATGCCCCTACTCGCGGTATAGCGAGTGGGGGCATTTGGGAGATTTTAATCTCCCTTGTGCTATTATGGGGGTCATATTGACCCTATTTTGGAAATCTGAACTGGTTCTCTCCAGTGGGAGGGATACTCAGACATGCTCAGTAACACCTGGCGTCCAACTAAAGTGGTAAATTGTTAATCCTGAAACACGTGTGGGAGAAGAACACTAATGCAAAAGTAAAAAGCAGCATGTTTCTCTTACCTCCTTCATTCTGAAAAGTGAAGTAGAAAAAACACAGTTTGTAATAGGTACTTACCCGGTGGGCAAATTACTCAGTTCAAACACAGATCTTCGATCCAATGCATATATTAAATATACTAAGGATGTGTATATAGTGGGGTGGCACAATAACAACTTGCATCAGAATATACTAAGTGACATATACTGAGGATGTATTTAAACCTCCAGTGCATATACTAAGATTATATGAATCAGATAAATTGAGGCTGTGCTTTGCACAGATTCTATCATTCACATATACTGAAATTGTGACTAACAGCAACCCAAACACAGAACTTGTGTTGGAGCTATATACTAAAGTTGTTTTCAGAACAACTGATACACACATGTTATATTGACTCATATATAGAGTTTTTGTCTTTTATATCATTCACATATAAAGTGTTTCAACCTAATATATAGTGCATGCATACAGAGGCAGTGTCTTCACAGAACTTATCCATAGAACATATAGTGGAGATATATATATACACACACACACACACACACACACACACACACACATTGAGGCTGTGTCCTCACAATAACTCATACATATATCATATAGTGGGTACATATACTGAGGCTGTGTCCTCACCGTAACTCATACATAGAGCATATAGTGGATACATATACTTAGGTTGAGTGTTCAGACCATACATAGAACGTGTAGACACTGAGGCTGTGCTTCACACAGAGATTATGTCCCTTATACCAGCTCATATACAGAGATAATATCGGTAACACATTCTGAGCCTGTGTGATAAACAACCTAGAAAAAGGTCTTAACACCAGTTCATTCAAAGGACTTATTGGTCTCATATGCTGATTTAGAGAAGCAGGAAGATCCAAACAATATATTAACTTCCACTCTGAAAAAGCTTGCTTATGTGCTACAAAGCACAGAAAACAGCAATCATTGCCTCATGCCTTGATAGGAAGTGTCTGCATGTACTATGTTTTGTGTAATTTAATCAGTTAGGAAAGCTTTCTCTTACTGTGTGTCTTCGCTGTCTTCAGGACTTTAGGGTTCAGGCACACTTTATACAGCCAGGAAAGCATTGTCAGCACTCTTTTGGAACATGCATCCTTGCATTATCCGCACTCTTTTGGAACATGCATCCTTGAATTATCCACACTCTGCCTATGCTAGTTTTTAATTTAATTAACTAATGCACTCACCTGATCATGGAAAACATACTAAACAGCCATAGAGACAAATGAACAGCAGCAGGCCCGAATTTGAGCAGCAAATGTGGATTTGAAAGCTTGGCCTTTTGTATGCATTGGACCGCTTTCATCCCCTGAGGGAGGGAGTTGGGTCAAACCCCCGTCGCTGAAGGAGATACCCAGGCTGGCAACATATAGAAATGTGCAGTTGCTGTACCTTCAGGGATTAGAGGCTGAATCTTGGCTGGACCTCATGTAGGCAGTGGACCACATTCATCCCCTGAGGAAGAAAGTTGGGTCAGACCCCCATTCCCTAAATGGTTTACCCAGACTGGCACCTCATAGAAATGTGCTGTTGCTGTGTCTTCAGGGCTTAGAGGCTAAACCCTGGCAGGCCAGAAAAATATTGGCCTGGTGAGCATAAAAAATAAAAATTCTAGACCTGCTTAAGCAGACTCTTTAAAAACTGCTGTGAATGACAGGAAAAAAGGACTGCCTGATGGGAAGAGGGACAATCTATTTATAGCAACTTAAGAGTTCTATTTCCTGTCCTTTCTGCTCTGAGGGGAGGAGCTAACCCATGAGTAAATGCTGTCATGATTGATCAGGAAATATTTATAAACTCAAGTAATCCATGAGTTTATAAATACATGCCTTTTTAATTTTGTGTATATACTGTTTTATTGTAAATACTGTTTTATTTAAACATGCATTTTGTTTTATTACTGTGATTCACTTATGCTGTTAACATGTTTAGAATACCCATTGATATTTTAAGAGAGTATCTATGAATATGTATTTTCTTGCTTCTCCACTGCATTAACACTATCACTGGAGTTTTCGAATTTCTTGCTGCAATACAGCTACAAAATACATGCAAGCGAAAACAACATGCGCACAGGCCAGTCCAATTAAACAGGAATTATGCATGTTGCTCAAAAAAGTTGACCTGCATAACTATAATGATCTCATTAGGTACCGTATTTATTAAGAGCAGAATCAGACAGAACACAACATGGGCATTAAGTAAGCAATAACTGTTTGTAACTTATGGCATTGTTACATGCCTATGTTAATGCCTTTCCAGGCCTATGGTAGACCCTGCATCCCAGCCAATTAGTGTTTTATTTATTAAGTAAAATAATATACCAATCCTCCTGTGAGGAGATCATAAGCACATATAGAAAAGTGTGTGTTGTGTTTTAAGCAGAGACATTTGCAATTGATTGATAAGTAATTTTCAATGAGACATCCATATTTCAACCAAGATTTGATTAGTGTAACAAAATACATGTGTGGAAATACATATATAAATGTTAAGGGACATTTAGATATAAGCATTTTATAGCAGGCAGGCTGAGAGTTACTATTATATCAGTGTTCTGGTCACTGACCAAGCTTACAGTTATAGCCACTTCAATTGTCAAGCTCAAAATGCTAACAAGTCAAGAGTCTAGTGTTGAGTGCAGTACGGTTACTTGTCTATATGTGCAAACCCTCCTGTGAATACTATAGCAAACAACCATGTAATCGAATGAAGTAGATAAGAAATTGAGTCTCTTTAAAATATTACACATTGCACTACATATTTTAAAGAGATGGCAACATCTTTGTTCTCACTGCATTTTCAGCAATACTTATGATTTTAGTCTTTTTATTTTAGTAAGTTCTCTGGAACATGGTAGACTGAAAGATCATATTTGCTTTGTAGGTGTGAGAAATGCATCATTTTATTGGCATAATTAACCAACCAATAAGGCATTTCTATCCCTCTTAATGTTCTTTAAAGTGTTACTAAAATTAATTGCCTTCAGTGATATCCAAATAATTGTGATCATATTATGCAACAGGGTAAACGTAACATAAATTAAATGTGTCATTGGTGGTATACAGGTATTTTCAAATTCAATATCAGCACCAGCCAACACTAATATCAGTAACTGATTACGTGCTTTCAAAGACTATTAATGCACCTTAAAAGTATATGCTTTCCTAAGATGTGATTAACCTTCCTTCATAGGTTAGCGTAGGAGTTCACTTTGTTTCATAGAATTCTCAGTATCAGGAGGTGGGCTGAGTGAATGTTGGATGTCTTGAGATAATTAGTGGGTTGTCTGCATAAAAGTAAGGAAGCTGGATGTCTAGTAGAGGCAGGTTGGCTTTCTACACTATAGGGAAGACGACTGACTAGGACAAAGGAAATGTAAATGCCTAGGTGATAATAAGGTTAGCTAGCTAGAAAAGAGAGTGTACAACAAATTTGAATCTACACTACAAAAGGCAAACAAGCAATGTGACAATTCTGCAAGGATTTGCAAGATTTAGGTTCCTGCATGTCACACTTAGAATCCAAAATGGAGGAATTTAAAGAGGCCCACAACAGTCTAGCTCAATATGTTGCCGGTGAATCAGGCATACAGTGTTGTAAAGCTGAAACATTTGCCAAATTCTGTGCCCAGGGATGTACTGGCATGCCTAAACTAATTTCACAAAGAAGTGCTGCTCAGAAGAGCAAAAAGAGACTTGCCTGATAATTAAAAAGAGGTTGACCTTCAAGAAAACCACAGAGGCTCTCTGCAACAACCAAGTTCTATATTGATGGGGCTTTCCAGTGAAAAACTGGAAAGATAGATCCCATCTCCTCCCCAGCAGATGTATCTCACTTGTTTTGCTCCTAGGGTTATGCACAAATGCCTCCTCCGAAGAGCCCAACGAGGACACCAAGTTTGCAATGGTAGTGGAACTGTGTGCACAAGTAGAACACTGTCTCAATGTGTGATATTCTCAGTCAATAATACTTTTTTGTTTAAGCACTTTACCACTATTAAACTAGTCTAAGCCAATGTTATATGCTAATCAATCACTATGGTAGGGATATGGGGCCCTGGTAAACGTACCCCACTAATCTAGTCTGTCAAGGGGCTCCCGTATAACCTCTCATCCTCAGTTTACAGTCTCTGACTATCGATAATGTTTAGGGTCACCGAGGGGGTACTAAAATGCAGCGTCCTTATAGAGACACTGTACACCGTGAGGAATCATCACAATAGGGTATATAGTTCTAAGATTATAAGTTAAAAAACAAACAAAAAAAACTCTTATTTGTTTGTTGTTTTAAGTAATTTATGTAACATATACTAAAGAGGAAAGCTCATGGTTAATTTAACAAAACTATATGTGATACGAGATAATGTCTACATGTAGGTGCCTTCAACATTCATGCAAAAGATTGATTATTTCAGCATTGCCATCAGACCTCATCACAGCTACGTACATAGTTGATTTCTGTTTGGGCTTATTAACCATTGTCAAAAGCGTTGATGTATAACCTATGCATATTGATATAAGAGCTAAAGCAACAGCGTCTTGGAGTTGCCAATACCTTTCATCCACTGCCTCTCACGCCCCTGACAGTATTAATAGTGGTGCTTTACCCTACCATTGTGTTGTTTTAGCTTCTTTTTCTTTTAAATGTTTTTTTTTTCTTGTTTTAGTTTTGGCCTAGTGGGTGGCCATTTCCTTACAAACCTCGTCCCAATAATTTCACCATTTCCAGCACACTGGATATCTCTATAAATATTTACAAGACCTCAAGTAAAAATACGGTTAGCTTTTTTAATCCATACCATGACACTAGAACAACCCAAATATGAGACATTATATTAAATTGTTAAATACCACAAATGGATCAGGGTTCTAGACAAAGCATTGTAAGTGTTACATCGGAAAAAACAGGTGACCCCATTACCTTAGTGAGTGGCAGACATCCAACACCAAATGAATGACATGCACGTTCAAAAAACAGGCTTCTACCTAAATAAACTACAGGCTACCAACTAAGTACAGGGGAACTGAACCAGCAAACTGACCAGGTGCCTATAAAGCTCACAAAGGGCTCACACCATGTGCTACACATTTAGAAATAATTTGAAAAATTCTTTACAGGTGGTATTTAGTACCAGCGGAATTGGTGCACATGTTTCCTACTACTAGCAATTTCTATTGGAGATGCCACACAAACGTGGGTTCTATGCTCGACATATAATTGATTTGCCCTTTATTGACCTCTTTCTGGAAAGTGATAGCTACACTGAATTCAGCAGTCGTAGAGTTTCTAGTAGAACCATCAATATAAATATTCCTTGTCTTTATCCTACCAGAAGACCAGGTAATCACATACATTTCAAAAATAATATTCCAAATTTTGACTGCTGCTATCCTATTGAATTTTATAAAATGGAAATTTATTACTGCTACAGCAATCCCAGAATTAATTTCTCAATTCTCATTGAACTTTAAATATGAGAGGATGCCTTTGGACCAGAACCAAAATGGCGAGTGCTAGAGTCATGCACGATATGAAATAATTTAATATCCCAATCAACAACCCCAATTGCCCTGATGCCTCTCATCTGTTCTCTGTAACCTCCTCCACTGGACTCACACAATGGTCTATTTCAGCAACTCATCCAGCAGGAAAAACTCTTAATGTCATCTTCACCAGTTTCTGTATCACCTCTAATCTCTCCATTCAAAAAAAATTTAATTTTTTTTTTGTCATTAGCGCTGTTCACCTTTATATATTCTTTGCCCCCAACTACAACCCTGGCACACAAGCTACCCAATTCTCCAAACATTTTCTAGAACTGCTAAACGCTGCTGGAGAAACTCTTACTCTGCATCTGACTTCCTCCACTATAAATTCATGCTGCTCTCCTACAAACTGGCTCTTTCCTCTTCAAAAGAAAACTACTTCAATACACTCATAACCACACTTTCCCATGAGCCCAAATTACTGTTTTGTGCTTTTAACTCTCTTCTTTGCCCTATTATGCCTCCTCCTCCAACCAAATTGACTACCACTAACTTTGCAACTTTATACTTTGTACTTTATACAATCAGGGAAGAGATCTCTCATCTCTCTTCATTGTCTACCACATCGGTAGACCTCACTGGTCTTACGTGTTCCCAACTTACCCCGTTACAGTCTATAATATAATATATTCTCTCCTGCAACTGTCATCAAAACAAAACACTAAGCCCTCAGTGAATACTATCCTAGCAACCTACTTTTCTACCCTACCCTTAACTTTTATGTCACTATACCCCACTCCCTCTATCATGTAAGTGCATTGAACAGGGCCCTCAATCCCTCTGTTCCTTTGTGTCCAACTCGTCTTGCTACAAATACGTGTCTGCTAGTCCACCCATTGTACAGTGCTGCAGAATTTGCTGGCTCTTTATAAAAAATTGAAAAAAACAGTGATTAGACACAGGGAAAATTTACAAATGTTAACTTCTCATTATGCTATAATTGTAAATAGTGATAATATCCTATCAAATAAGCAAGAGGCACCGCAAAGTTCAAGGTTAATATCTGAGGTGACATCATATTAATCCCCGCCCCTGATAATGAATACCCACTGTTGTTCTCGTGTTCCTTCTGCCTTTTAGTTGTAGATGACAAGTAAAGTATATTTACAGAGCACAGCTTGACACAACTGTAGCGGAGATGCAATATTACCCAGGTTATCTCCGCTTATAATCCAAGTGAGACTCAGGAACAAGTAAATAGTAAATCCAAAGGCAGGGTTTCCAGCAGGTAAAATACAGCAATATCCCCACAGCAATCCCAATAACTGGACGACACACAGTTTCAGGAGCATAACTGACAAGCCTTTAATCACAGTCTCCTTATAAAGCATGCTCCCATGCAAGGGAGGGACTTACAGTAATTATTACAGTAGCCAATCCTGTCCTGGTAACCTCCCACACATCTCCTCCCCTCAGCCAGCATCATAATCCCCTTATCCAGTACACCAATTCCCCCCATTTCTGGATGTACCCCTAAACGTAGGGGTACCTCTTTAAATCATACATCCCCTGGTAGCCCTGATCTGGGTGAACAACATATCCAAAAATCACCCAGATCAGACCAGGGGTTCGGGAAAAGTATGGAGGGAATAAAATGACCGACCGCACGAACTGAGATAGCCGAATTCGGTTCCATGTGAATGGGCCTTGCGGTCGGTCCTGGCATAAGGGAATAAAATACACGAAAGCCTCTAGCTATAGAGGCTAGGGAGGGTTCGCCTGAATCCCCTCGTTCGGTATTCTCTATCTACCGAACGAGGGGCCGTTCGGTAGTTTGGAACCGAACGGACCAGGGCTGTGGAGGTCTCAGCGGTGTTCGCCTACTCGAGTGTCCGATTTTAGTTCCAGACACTCGACGGCAAAACACCGCTGTTCGGGAGTTTTAAAATGGCCGCCACGTGTTCGTTTGTCGAATGGCGGCCACCCCCGAGAACAAAGGACGGCTACTTACTGTTCAATTACCCGTTCGCAACAATGTTGCAACGGGTAATTGAGGACACACTTCACACAGGGGAGGTCTGGTTGTTCGGTAGTTTCATTCGAATAAACTAAGGGAATGAAACTACCGAACAATCAGAGGAATACAATTCTTTTTAATACACAGAAAATACAGCAGATACACGGATGCAGCTTTATACAGTATTTTTGTAGGGTCGCCTGGTGCCATCCGCTACAACAACGTTAGGTGTACACCTTCATATATTATCGTACTACTGCTTTGTTTAGTAACACTGTCCTTATTTTCTGTATAACAGCAACTTGTGAATATTGTGACTGTACTCATACCTTGTGAAATATTTCAAAAACTAAATAAGCATTACAAGTCAACTCTCCCCCCACCTTCAACACACACACATTTAAGGACTGTATTCAAATTATTACAGGCTTAAATTCAGTTTATTGTTGTATGCCACTATTCTCGGAGGCAAGATAACTAAAATGAGGTTGGGTAAATGTAGCTAGGAAATAATGATTCTAGGAGGAAATTATGGTGAATAGAAAAAATAAAGGATGGCTAGAAGAAAGAATACTAGAAGCGAAGATGGCTGAGTAGGATGGTGTCTGGCTAGGAGATATAACCTATAACTCGAACAAAGAAAGAAAGTGATGTGAGAGTAAAAATAGATAGAACGATTGGGGGCAAGGAGACATTTTGCGTGTCAAAGAAATAGGGAAAGTTGCTAGAAGTTTAAGAAATAATTTGTAGGTTGGGGTAGTCTTGCTATTTGAGCACTCAGGAGAGGGAGATTGGCTGGTTAGCTGCAGGAGATGGCAGAAATCCAGTATGTTTAGCAAGAAATTTGAGTAATGATTTCTAGGAGGGAGCCTGGGTGGCTGGAAGATAGGGTAGTTAGGACAAAGATGTGTAGTTAACTTGCTGGAGTTAATGTGGCTTGTAGAGTGAGTAGGTAGCCTGACTGTCTGTCCTGAAGGGCTTTCTTCAGGAGAAGGCTCACTCTTCTGCTACTGGTATTAAGTAAAATCTGGTACAGTTGATCTTCACAATGACCCAGTCCCTTTGTGTATTGGGCTCATATTGATATGGTTAAAAATCTTGTTTATGTTCAATTGACTAAAAGGTATCGATTGGTGTTATAGCCATATGGAGACCCACTATACGTTTCTCTACTTGTGAAATATGATGCCTAATACATTTCAAAAGCATCAGTGATGTCTTCCATATTTGGTAGGACTGTTATGTCCCTCTATAAAAACATGGTACTTGTTTTAAAAATTTAAAGACACTACTCAATCCTTCTCTAATACACAGAAATAATTCAAATTGTAAAAAGCAAAAACAGCACATACAATAGTTAATACAAATGTATTTAAACATTCCTTAGACTTTAGACTTTTTAACATATATTTACATTACAGCACTACTGACTTTCCAATTTGTTTAATGTACCTGTTAAAAAATGTTTTATTATTAGTTACAGCAGTTTAATTATTAAGCTCTTTAATGTGACCTAAAATAGAACTATTAGAAAACTATGAAATAAAATGTAATTTTAAAAAATATTTTATAATCATTTAGCATTTTTATTTTTCTTCTCTCAAACATAGGCCAAAAAAGGGGTATATGTGTAAAAATAAATCATTTTCCAGAAGACACAGACTATGATCATGACAGTGCTGAATATCTTTTGCGTAAGTATTTTTCTTTGTAATATTTCTGTGTTTAACCAATTTAGAAGAGTAAGTGAGGGTAGCTGATCAAGATTTACAATTGTAGCGAGCTAGAAAAGACTCCTTTAAATTTTCCCCAACTCCATAACTTTGTAAACCCTACCTCTAGACTGGTTTTACACCGCCCAATTATCCCGATGTGGAAATTCCCATACTGTTGTAAAATTAATATTTCTTCCAACAATATAGGATTCACAAAACGATACTGAGATGTTACATAAAGTGGTGTGTTTCCTGAAATCTTGATATCTAGTCTTGACCACAATCATTTCATTCTATATGAAACTGATGAATGTCTATAGTTAGGTCTGTGTTTATTGATATATTATTTAGTCTCATGCTCCCTTTCATAACCAAACATCAGGAACTGAAGCATTAAAAAGTTTGTTGTGTTTGTCTCACTGTCCACATCTCTCTGTTTCTCTGTGTGTGCCTCAATCTCTCGTTCCTCTCTGTCTCTGTCTAACTATGCAATTCTCTTTGACTTTCCAACTTTCTGTCTCTCTGCTTTACTCCCCAGCTCTCTATTTCTTACTCTTGGATTCTGTTTATGTCATTCTTCCTCCAGCTCTCCTATTCCTGCTCTATATTTGCTCAACTCTCTCACAACATCCTTCTAATCATTTTCTTCATCACTCTTTACTTATTTAGAAATCTCCAGCTCATACTTTCACGATCTTACTCTTTTTCTCTCATCTGTTTCATTCTCTCACTCTATGTATTCAGATCACTAGCACCAGTACTCTCTGATTTCACTCCTGTTTTGTCTCCCCAGCTCTTTTTCACTTGACATCTTTGTAAAAAGTGAGTGCGCCTAGGTATTTACAATTGTGGTCTATTCCTCTTAATTGCACCTGTGCTGCTCTAACTGCATGGTTGGTTGAGGTGCTCATGCTGCAAAAATGGTGAAGCATGAGGGATCACAGTGATTGCAGGGTGAGATGAAGCAATGATCATGGTATTCATAGGCATCCTGGGTGGCGTTAGAGTGTGTTAGAACAGAGTCTACATCTCTTAGGCATGCATAGATCTCTGTGAATATTCCTTCATACTGTACAGGTCATACGGATTGAGGCTGCAAGGATATACGATGGCACATCTTGAAACTCCAGCAGCCTTTATCTGTCTAACCTAAATATTATGCATTATATATTATATTTGTTTGTACCTGCACTCCAGTTTAGAAGTTGGCATTCCACCCATGAACAAGCCCCTAGCTAATGCAAACTCCCCCCGCCTCCCACCCCCCAAAAAAAATTTAAATAACCGAGAACAGCCCAGTAGAGATTTATTCATATATTTAATTGATTCAACACTACTGAAATATTTGCTACGAGTTTTGCAGATTTGTTTTTACAGCCAGTGCCATAATGACATTACATAAATACATTCCAGGAATTTTTTGAATTGACATTACACATTGTAATATGCATACACTTGGAATAATTCAGATTCATTAAAAAAATATCCAAAATATAATCATAATAACATAACAAAGTTGCTTTAAAGTCAGACTATCACGCAATAATAACTCATCTTCTTTTTCTCGGTGTGCCAGGTGTTGTCCGTGCCTCGAGCATCTTCCCTATCCTCAGTGCCATGCTCCTTTTACTTGGGGGCTTATGCGTTGCTGCCAGTCGTGTTTACAAATCCAAGCGTAACATAATCTTAGGGGCTGGTATTCTATTTGTTGCTGCAGGTAAGCAAAAAAAATACTCTACAGAATAATTTATTTTTCTCAGAAACAATATTCTTTTCATCTGTCATATTCCCAACAATTTCTATCAAATAATACAACCATAGCTATAATCTGAGAATGTATATATATATGTAGATTCTTCAAATATGACTTGGTATACTTTTCAAGCAGATCCAAAAATACTTTTATATATAAATAAAAAGTTGGGTTATTTGATGTGATTTGTATTGAAATAGCCAAGTGGTTAACATTCTAGAAACATTGATGTATTAAATGTAACAGATTTAAAGCAAAGAATACATAGTTTGATTAACTAACATATACAGATAATTGTATACATATTCTGTTAATATAAAATAGTATACTAGAATCAAGTCAAAATCCATTTTATGCGAACTATATTGTATTACAATAATACACTTATATATTTTTTTCCACATGGCAGGTCTAAGCAACATCATTGGTGTGATTGTTTACATTTCTGCAAATGCAGGAGATCCAGGGACTAAGAGAGATGATGAGAAGAAAAGTCATTACTCATATGGCTGGTCTTTCTACTTTGGGGGGCTTTCTTTTATCATTGCTGAGATGATTGGAGTTCTTGCAGTAAATATCTACATTGAGAAAAACAGAGAAGCCCACTGTAAATCACGTACAGAACTAATTAAAAATCCATCAGCCATCCTTCGTCTCCCTAGCTACCGTTTTCGATATCGTCGACGCTCTAGATCAAGTTCACGCTCCACTGAACCTTCTCAGTCAAGGGACACTTCTCCCGTTGGAGTGAAAGGGATTCCATCAACTGACATCTCCATGTATACATTGTCAAGAGATACCTCTAAAGCCAATGTAAGCAGCTTATATAATACAGAGCGTGGGGATCACAGTTTTCTACAGCTTCACAACTGCTTTCCTAAGGATTCCGGGGTTACCGTCACCGTCACAGGACCAGCCTCAAACACAGGCACCCTGGGCAAAGACGGTTCCAATACCAACACGCTAAACAGGAAAACTACACCTGTGTAGATGGGCCCAAGGCAAATATATTCTAAATGAGTGTGAGGAAGTGTGAGGAAGTGTGTGTTCTATGCGTGTTATAGTGTGAGTCTTGGAATGGAGATAGGAGCCATTTTATGCCATGTAGCTGCCAATTACTGGTCTAGAGGAACATAACGACCCTAGACCTTTGTACCAGTGAAATATTTACATTTTGGAACCAAATGATATACATCCTGAAATCTGCATTATAAGTATTTTGATAAAAAAGAAAATACATATTCCAAGAGAACATGTAAAAAGGATCATAGAATTCAACTTTTTTTTTTTTTTTCACAGATAGGCTAAAATGATTTTATCTAACCATCCATCATTTGACATATGTAAGGTCCCTTTTACTGCTGTAATTTCTTTTACCACGTTATTGCACATTTGCAACATAATTATAAAGCTAGAATCAGTGTAAAATCTAAATTTAGCACATACTGAAAAAGATAATTACAAGGTCTTGGAAAGTAAAAATAGACAAGAATAGTAGGATTAAGCTGGGTGTAAAGCAGTTGCACGTTTTCTTGTTTTTTTGTTTTGTGTTTCACAACAAGATGATCTCCCCAACAGTTGCATTTACATATACCATGTGTGCTAAAAGCCAAAGTGCTTAATTTAAAAAGAGACTTAAATATACAGAGCAGCCTTAAATGAAAAAGAAAATAGTATAATATTTTAATTTACTCTACTCTCTAAGAAATTTTGAACAAATATGATGCTGATGATGTATTTCCTTGAGAAATTAGTCTCTAGGAGTTAATATCAGCTACACTTATTACTGATTTTGCCAGTCTTCAAAAGTTATTCAATATACAATTTGAATTGCCAAAAGTGAACACATCAGAGTGAATGAATGTTTAAGAAACTTTGACTCTAATAAAACTAGGAAAATTATAGCATAGACGATTTACCTGATTTGCAGAAGTAGGTTTTCCTTCACCCTACTGGCCATAGTTAGGCGACAATAATAATAATAATTATTATTATTAAAATTATGCCATTGGTATTTATATTTATCAGGTGATAACCAAATAATGGACTTGTTTCACTACGCAAGTTCTCTGCTCAATTCTTAGAGCATTTCCTGAGTGAGAGAAATTGGCAAGGTGTTTGATGCATTCTGCTTTTAACCCCTTAAGGACCAAACTTCTGGAATAAAAGGGAATCATGACATGTCACACATGTCATGTGTCCTTAAGGGGTTAAAGTATGAAGCTTGGGGTACAATATCACTTCCAACACAACAGATGCGTTACAGAGACATGCTAGACACAACCACAGTCCTGAACTAAATTAGAAAATGGTGTCACATACTAGTAACTAGGTCTGACCATGGGCTTTTATACCATGTGTATATATATATGATGAGTCAGTCATGAAGTTGGGATTCAGGAGCTAACTCATAGGCATTGTTTTGTTCTCATCAAAGCCCTGAAAATAGGAATTCTCCTGTCTCATCGACTACATCAATGACGACTAGCCATTGCACCAGAGGGATTTTTGAACACCATTTCTATTAACAATGACTGAGCATCAATGAAATATATTTCACAAACTGGAATGTTTGTTGTAACCAATGGTTGGGTGTCTCTCTGTGCTAACAGGATATCAGTACTGAATATTGATTTGTTATACTTTTTATTTTATTTGCATGCATATATGTTGAAAGTTACATCCACAGGCTTATATTTCACCTTAAAGATTTCACTTTTATAATAACATTTTATACAGACTGGGGAAAAAAAACGATTTCACTGGAATACCTCGGGAAACACAGCAAAAAGGCAATTGTTGATAAAAAGGGAATGATAGGTCTGTCACGTGTATTGAAGGGGTTATAGAAACACTAAGTGAAGTGTCATGGCTACCAGTGTTTTTGTCCATTCAATCAGTTTACAATAAAGCTAACAAGTGAAAAGTATTTCCATCAAACAAAGTTATAGTATATTTAGCTATATCTTACATATTTACACTGTGGAGGTAGTTATTGGATCACAATTGTCAAACCTTTAGTAAAGGTTGCTGAGGAAAAATTGGAGTCTGTAATCCGCTAAGGATTTCATAAAGTACATTCCTTCTTGTGTAAGCCAAGCCCTCAGCTATCATTTCGATTTTTGGCTTTCCACAACATTCCTTTCTTTCTAATATATCTTTACAGCCTCCCCTCCTTTTCTATATAATAGAATATTTAACTTTTCTTCTAATCTGTTATTTGCAATGATATATATAGGGCTTCCATGCATTTATTCCTCTAAATCTCTTTCGAATTCATGAAATGCCATACGTTCATCACAGCTAGAAACAAATAAATACATAAAAAATACATATGTTGATCACTTTATAGATGCATCTGCATATTGCTGTATATGGTATTCTTGGTACATTCTTTTATATTATTTATTAATCTGCAAATCAATTAATAGATCATGCATACCATTCTTTTCGACAATGTACTTCATATGTCTGATTCATCTATCCAACTCTCCATATGTCTGTCTTTCATCTTTCTACTAATCCATCCGAGCATCGATCCGTCCGTCCTTCCAATCACATATGTAGATTTAAGGCTAGCAATCATACTTTTTGCCAAGGTAGCTTACTATTAATGCAAGATAGAAATGTGTAACTATTGTTTTGTGTGATAATCACTTCTTTATGAACAGATATTTAAATCAGAGCCAGAATACTCGTAAGGAGGCATAGGCATCTGCCTAGGACTCCAGTTCTGTTTGTGTAGAGTCCCTCTCTCTGAGTCAGCAGGAAGATCAATAGATCTCTCTGCATGGCCCTGTGCCCCCTCACTTCATCAAGAACATCATGTTCTGCACCACACCTATCATTCTGTATGATATAATCTCATCACTTTGAGAGTTATGTAATTCAATGACAAAATCCAGATTGGCCTTTTCTGCAGCCCTTCTGTATTTACAAAATATAAAATTGGTCTGTGCTAACTAGAATTGTGAAAGGAAACTCAAATAATTAATTTATTGCATGCCTCAGTGGTTAAGATATTTACTTGCTTAGCTCAACAAGGAATGCATTAGACAATTATATTGCTCAGACTAAAGTGAAAGAGAAAATTAAGAAAGATGAAGTTTACACATCAAGACAGGTGTGTGGGCCAGATGTCTTTAAGGCTGCTGTGCTGGGATATATCTTCTTCGAATTCATGGACATTGAAATATACTGCAATTTACCTCTGCAAGCAGCACCTGCTGGGCCTCATCCATTTTATAGGCAAAATAATCATCTATCTAGCATGTCAAAATAACATAATGCAATAAGAAAATGTGTCTTGTAAAGGAAAAACTAAAAGCATTTTGAAACCTTTACTGCTTTGGGATTCTATCCTCCCAGTAGAGAATAGTGCCAGACTTTTTTTATGAAGAATAGAATTAGTAAGATCTCTTTCCTGGAAATTGTTACCAGAAATGAGCACCCATCAAAACCTCAGCAGAGAAGACCAAGCAGAGAATAAAACAATACAGAAGAGTACTCCACTTGTTCTTCCCAAAGGGAAAAAACACAGATTGCTTTTATTCTTCTGGGCAATACAATAGAGTGGCAACAATTAGGGCTGAAAGGACAAAAAATGTATATTAAAACAAATCTTAAAGGGACACTGTAGGCACTCAGACCACTTCAGCTCATTGAAGTGGTCTGGGTGCTGTGTCCATTTTGCACTTAGTGCTGCAATGAAAAACATTGCATTTCCAGAGAACATTTACATTGCAGCTCTAAGCATGCCCTCAGTGGCTGTCTACCAGCGTGGGCACGAGCCTGACCCAGCACCCAGGGATATCTGCGCTGGAGTCAGGTAAGTGACTGAAGGGGTTTTAACTGCTTCAGCACCGATGGAGGGGTGCGAGGTAGGGGGGCACCTTAGAAATCTATAGTGCCAGGAAAACAATCCCTTTCAGGGAAAATTCTATTAGAATGACTCAATGTATATTATCTCCCTGACCTCATTGCAGAATCAGTTCTTATTGCATGATGTGTAGTTTGTTTTAGAGGATTAGTTTATACTATATAGTTTATATTATATCTATCTCCCCATGCACGGCAATCTCGGCAGCTAATGGTGGGAATACATCCCCATGTCATCCTCTGGGTGGACCTGTCACTGATGAGAGGAGGGATTCTCCCTGCGGCTTACGGAGTTGTTTATAGCTGCAGTGTTTCGGCGGCTTCTATGGCAACGTGATGTAGCCGCGTTATGTGAAAGGCCCCAGCTGATCTATGACTGGGAGGTGATTCCCGTAATTGCGCGCATGCGCAGTTGCGCTGAACAGACGCCGAGCATCGGGAGAAACAAGGAGCAGCTGGTTTGGTGAGTGATTATGATTTTTAGTCCTATTTAAGTTTGTCATTATGTAAAATGATTTTGATGTGTCCTGATGCAAGCTCCAAATGGGAGCTGAAACATTGACCCTCTGGATTGACTGAAAATAAACAAACGATCTTTGGAAGACCTAGAGTGCCGGTATTATTTCTATTTTTGTGCATATATATATATATATATATATATATATATATATGTTTCCAATGTTCCTGCCAACGGCACTTTACTTGAAATGGCCTGCTAAAATATCCAGAATTTAGGTAACCATTTAGCACTTCACCCCTATGATTTATTGCATTACTACACATGGCCACAGGGGGCATCTGGAATAAAACAAATTCTTAACCTCAGTTACAATGACTAGGTTCTTACTGCCAGTGTGTCCCTTCACTTGGCTAACTATACTGCACTGTTTATACAATGAAATATGTTTCATTTATTATTAAGCATATTCTGAAGTGTAGGAAATATTACTAACTGGAATTACAAAATTGTAGGTTAGTCGCAAAGATGTGTTATTTATGAGGGTTTGATAGTCTTCCATTCACATCATCAAATTTTATGATATTAGCGTATTAAGAGATGCACAGCATATGTTATATAAAATTCCCTGCATGTTTTAATAAATGCTTTCATGTATTTATTATGTATCCATGTAGATTGTCTATAAATCTATTGACACCAAATCTAGTGGTAAAAGAAGCTCAGCTGAGGGCTCTATATGCCTTAACAACAATGGAGTGCATGTCAGGACCCAACTAAAAATGGACACCTCAAAGCCATATTGGGTCCCTGAGACTTAACACCTCATTGTTGAGTTTTTGTAGCTCATTGACTCGATGAGTGACTTAACTCCGGCTACTCTCTTTTTTTTGCCTGGGCCAGTATCTGTCCATTCCTTATATGTAGAGAAGGGAGAATATCTTTATGTTACTAGACTCCCAATGTCACCAATTTGCAATACAATGTATTGATGACTTGCATTATTTATATAAACTTGTTGTAGTTTTTAAAATTACTTAGCTGTCTATTTCATAAAATGCATTGAGGTGAGTTTAGAAATAATCTGCTAAATAAAAGGCAAAAATGTAGGATTGGAAATGCTAAGAGGATCTCTAGATTTATTTATTTTTCTAGCTGCATTATTTTATCCTAAATTCAGTTTAGTGAATGAGCTATAGACTCAGATGGAATAGAGCTGATATGTTCATCATATATCAACTGTAATTCAATATTCAGTACTGTTGTAAACAGGTTAAGTCAGACATCACATACCATTGGTTAACCAAATTATCAATAACTCAAGATTAAATACTGTACAAGCTACAGTACAAGGGTATAGTGGATGAGTGTCTTAAACATATTTTGAATAAGATAATATATCTAAAAATATTTTGCCCTAAAATGCCTTTGAAAAATATGTTAATATCACTGTTACCAACATTGTATAATGATTCTTCAAAAATTCTAAACATTTTTAGACTTGGGTTTATTTGCTAAAACAGAGAATTGTAATGAACTGAATTAAAATTTACAGTATCACAGCACGAAGATGACTAACTTGTAGTAGTCTCTCTAATTAGCTATCATGGGTTTAATATTCCAATTCAAAGTAATTAGCTGTTCAGTAAACAAATGCAGGTATGCATTCAATCCTACTCTTACAAAGTGTCATATTGCAAATGCATTAATATACCTCTTCTGTAATTCACATCCAAAAGGAAGAGCGAAAAAATAGGGACCAGTAAAAAAAAAAAAAAAAAACAGTGATACAGGGACAAGTCAGTGCCTTTTTAGTTATGCCAACACAGTACGCACTTTAACAAGCCACTTATTGCTCCCATACTTAATCCAATATTTCCTCTGCACAGAGGTGGCCGTTCTCTACTTTTGCAGTTAAGCTAACATGATAGTTGATGATCACACATGTTAAAGAGCAGCATGTCCTATCCTGCAGTACTGCACACACTAATTAATCCATTTCACTAATTAAAAAGAATAATATCCCTGCAGTGTCATTTAAATATTGGACTCTTAAATTTTTAAAGATTTCTTGGGATCTGCTATGCCACACACATTCTCTGTATATAAATGTGTGTGGCATAGCAGATCCAAAGAAGAGAAAAATGAGCTTTGGGAGGAAAATGATGAGATATAATAGATCATGATACTTTTATCAAGAAGCCTGATAATTTGAACAAAACTGGCGGTTGGTTTTGCAATTACATAATTTGAATGTATTATTTACAGAGCCATTACATGCTTCACAGGTTGTGGGAAGTCGGCTGTAACTACTGATCTTTTTTTTTTTCCTTGGGAAAACAAAACAAAACATACTCCGTGATGCTACAGTCTAATTGTTTCCCTGATTTGAAATGTGAAGATGAATATTTGGCAGAGAAGACTGATATTGATATTGATAGGACTTTATATATTATGCCCTTATAAACTGTGAAAGACTAAAAAATAAAATTAAAATGTAGGGCACAAGGAAAAAAAAAAAAAGAGTGTGAATGCTTTGATCAAACGACTGAATGGTAAATATGTATGTGTGTGTGTGTGTGAATATAAAAAATAATAATAATAAGTAACTGATATATAGTACTACATGGGCTTACGTTGTTTATTTCAATTAATATGAGTTATTTTATCCTTTTTTTTTCATCTGATTATTCACTACTTTATTTGGGAGACTGAAGAACGATAATTCTTTCTATATCCTATAATGTCTGACAGAGGTACTTTCTGTATCCTATAAAAATCTACAAGGGATAAAAAATATATATAAAAATAATAAAAAAAACAATAAAAAAGCAAAAATAACAGTGGTTAATACTTTGACATTATGTTGCACATCTACACTGTTGTCATAAAATGATTTATTTTCCTTTTTGTTTTTAATTCTATTTTGTATTTGTCTGCACGTTATGGCCATTAAATATGTTTATTTTACTCTTCTAATCAGTTTGAGACTTTACACCAGATCTCGAATTTCAATGGCTTCTGGTGAATGTTTTGAGGACTTAATGGTGTGCTGTACTGATATTTTAAAAGCATAACAAGGTCCAATGCTTGCTGATGGACAGAGCATATCATTAAAAAAAATGGTACTTGCAAAAAAGAATGCCAACAAATTGCCGACTGTATCAAGAGCCAATAAGGAATGACTATGATTTAATATAACAGTGCAAAATTAAATCATATTATTAAAGAGGAGTATAAAATTGATTGTATTGATTGTAATTTAAAATATGAGTTTATATTTTGTATTAGTTTTAAAAAACAGATTCACAGTTTAGATACTGAACTGGAAGTTAATAAATATGATGACAATATGGATATCATGAGGTAGACTGCATTAAAGTTAAAAGTAAATGTTATCTGATGTTCGATGGAAAAAGAAAATTCATCAATGTACACATTTTTTATTATGCAATCAGTCTTTCAACTTAAATATCTAACAACAAAAAAATACAAACGGAACAGTTTTTAAGAAATGAAAAAACACAACTTCTGATTTTCAAATACATTTCTGCTAGTCAAACTTTAAGAAATATGTTTAGATGGTTTTATTGAAATTTTGTGTCACATTCTCCTTTAGGGATACATAATGATAAACCATTGATTGTCATTGCTTAAATGCTTTAAAAGTCATTGTACATTTTGAAGTATATCGTTAAAAATGTTAGTAGGACAAATTTAAGTATTTAATGCGGAGACAACCTTGTAAGGAAAAAAAAATACAGAAACATGAAGAATTTGGATTTCATTTAAACCATGAGATTTCTATTCTCAAAAGACCGGATGCTTTTTGAACAAATAGTGCAATGTTAAGCAAAAATAAATCACTTGCAAGTTCTCTACTCACTAAAGGTAAGTTGTTTGCAAAATCAACTACTGCATCTGAGTGCTAGTATATGAAGTTGCTTATTTATTTTAAATTGTAGCCAACATGTGTAGGGTTTACTAAATATTCAAGTATGGGATTTTTGGATATTTGTTCCAAATGTCTCTGAAATTAACCAATTAATGTAAAAGCCACCTGGTAGCAGAAGATGTCAGTAGGCAAATAATTTAAATAAGTACATAAATAAATGAGTGTGCCACTTAATAAACTGGATGAGAGCACTAGAATTCTTTAAATACAATCCAAGGCAACTGTGAGGTCTTTAAGTCCTTAGTATGCAGAGCCAATAATAAAATTGTTCATACTTTATTAATTACACCTTGTTTCCTACCACATGTGCCATAAATTGCAGGTTAATAGTGATATGTTACCCACCGCCATCACTTCTAATATCCAGCGTGCTATGGGATGAGAATGATAAATCCCAGTTCTCCTAATAATTGGTCTACTTATCTTCGTTCATCCTGTAATTAATGGGATGAATTGTAATGCACAGAAAAAGGCCTTCCTTAATGTTCGCTGCTTCATCTCTCACCATGTGTGCTGTAATATTGTGTTTAATGAGTTAGCTGGGTAACTGGGTCCTTAATAGCTTTGTAGCATGTCTGCAGGTTTAGAGGTTGATATATGTAATTAGAGGCTTCCAATTGTACTTTTCTTTCTCTCCCACAGCCAAGAGGTTTTGGGATGGAGCTCTCAGGTACTATACTCAATGGATCACCCTTGTAACACATTGTTATTATTATTATTATTGTTAATAACCATCAATTCCGGCATAAGAACATAGAGTATTTGTAGGTTCACCTTGAATATTAAGGAGTCTGGGAGACAGTTGGTTCTTTGGTCGGGGCGCTTCATCTGTCCTATATAGAGTGTCCAGTTCATCTCCTTATTTTTACACATTGTAATATTTTTAATGTTTTTACAACATGGGTAAGTTGGCGGTGTTAGGATTTATTTTGTGAACTATGTGCTACTATTTGCTGATTCTTGGAAATTAACTTTGGAATTCAGCTTATAACAATGTTCTTATTAGTAACCTATCAATACAAGGAACATTTCAAGTAAGACATCTTTCCCATACTTGATCACCTATCGGACAACTTAAAATGGATATAGATCAACTTGAACCAGCTTTCTTCAATTAAATGGTTTTCAAAAGTTGCTACATGGATATGTTCTTTACTATATTTTCAATCAATTTATTACTAAACAGTAATATGTGGTGAAAGTACAAAGTTCAGAACCTGGGCCAAATTAGGTAATTTTCTTTTTCAAATATTTAAATAAATAAATACATACATACATACATTATTAGTGGTCAGGGACAATAAGCTAATGTTATTCGTGCTTAAGTCAGTTGTGGTATGCCGAAACCGATGTATGGGTAGGACTGCAAAAAGAGGGTCCACCAGTTGAAATGGCTTGATAAAGTGAGTGGTGGGTGGGGTGAACCAGACAGTCTCAGCCCAGTGAAAGGGGCAGCCTGTGTATTTATAGGCTGGAATAACCCATCCCACAACTACAGGCCCTGCCTTTAATTTGTGGTTGGGGACAATAAGCCGAGTTCTGTTATTGGTGCCAAACCCGAAGTTCGAGTAGGCCTGTAAGAAGAGGGGGAAAAGTTAATAGCATAACACCTTAATACATGTCTACATTACACAATCAATAATTTAAATTTTATAAGCATTTATAACTATACCTGAAAGAGAAAATGTGTTAGTGGGAGATACTGTACAACACCAAGATACTGACTGACCTATTTTATGCCAAGTGGCTAAACATTTAAGCTAAATTGGTGACTTGGGAACCTAACTAGTTGGCAAGTGGTGATGAGAGGCTCTACCTACAAATTGGCCCATTGGGTAAGTTTGCCACCGAGCGTTGTGGCAGGGTGTTGGCCTCTCAGTGAGGATTAAAGAGATTCAAAATAGGTTGGCTGTGACAGGTGAGGACCTACCTGCTTTTGCCAAGGGGACAGAAATGTGAGGCAGCAACTATGATTTGGCCTGAGGGGTGAATACCTCCGTAGTTGAGGATGGGAGTAAGCCTTGCGGGACATCTAAATAATGGCACAAGAAGCTGAAAACTACCTGGGGCCACTTAGGGAACCCTAATAGCCAGACCAAGCTCACCATAAGTTCTGTAGAGCAAGTGGTTGTTGTAAGAAGAGAGGCAGTATCGTAAAGTGAGTCACTTACGTGGTGACTTGAAAAACATAAATGTGAAACAATAAATGTGGCATGATTAGACATACACCTGCCTTTAATTTGTGATTGGGGACAATAAGCCGAGTTCTGTTATTGGTGCCAAATCCGAAGTTCGAGTAGGCCTGTAAGAAGAGGGGGAAAAGTTAATAGCTTAACACCTTAATACATGTCTACATTACACAATCAATAATTAAAATTTTATAAGCATTTATAGCTATACCTGAAAGAGAAAATGTGTTAGTGGGAGATACTGTATAACACCAAGATACTGGCTGACCTATGTTATGCCAAGTGGTGAAACAATTAAGCTAAATTGGTGACTTGGGAACCTAACTAGTAGCCAAGTAGCAATGAGAGGCTCTACCTATGATTTGGCCTGTTGGGTACATTTTCCACCGAGCGTTGTGGCGAGGTGTTGGCCTCTTGATGAGGATTAAAGAGATTTAAAATAGGTTGTCCGTGACAGGTGAGGCCCTAACTGCTTTTGCCAAGGGGGCAGAAATGCGAGGCAGTAACTATGATTTGGCCCGAGGGGCAAATATCTCCATAGTTGAGGATGGGAGTTGGCCTCGCGGGACTGCTAAATAATGGCACAAGAAGCCAAAAACTATCTAGGACTACTTCAGGAACCCTAACAGCCAGACCAAGCTAAACATAAGTTGTGTAGAGCAAGAGGTTGTTGTAAGAAGGGAGGTAGTACCGTTTAGCGAGTCACTTGCATGGTGGCTTGAAAAATGTAAATGCAAAACAATAAACTGTGGCATGATTAATTAGACAAAGAGTTGATGGTAAAAATAAGTGAATAAAAAGTTATGGGCAAAAGAAAAAATGTGTGCAGATGTCCAAAACCAAAATCCCACAATGGATTTCATAATCCAGAACTATGACTACACAGTGAAAATGCAATGGCGAGATTGCTGTTAAGGTAGGTATAGTAAGGGCAATGAGCCCAGAATACAAACACTTGATATCTGATACCAATTAACCAAAGGAAAGTGACCCAGTTGACCATACATGCAATGGTCGGTATGAAGCATATCTGGTGAGACATGACATACTGATATACTGCTAGAGTGTTTCGATATGTAAGAAAGGCCATAAGAGGAGGTGGCTGGAATAATTGAACAACATGACCCCTGTTAAGTATATATTAAGGCGAGGGTACAATCACAAATTATCTAGTGGAGGATAAACAGACGCAAATTTGAAGCAAGTAGGAATATCAAAACATAACATTGCAGACAAGTGGAGCAACTGAAAATTAACAGATTATCTTGAACGCTGAATACCTGATGTACTGAATCTAGCCCATAGCGCATCCTTCCACTAGAAGGACCTGAAGTATGTATGAGAAAGAACACCCTGAGAAATAGACAACTATTATATAATCAAATCCCATACCGTACTGGATGAAGCAGTATACCAGAACTAGAAAGTGACCTAGAGTAGAGGTGAGGTTAAAACTAAAACAGTTAAAATAGTGACAGAACGAAGAGGCCTGGATATGTTTAATACGTAGTGATAGGTTCTAGGGAGTGTGTCGAGAGAGGGCTCTATGGGAAAGCCTTGCCTGGGCCTAACAAGGCAGAGTGTAATAATGGAATGTAGTATGAATGAAGAAAATGAACCTGCCTAAATAGATACGGGTGAACCAAAGTGCTTAATGTGTAAATATAATGGGGTGAGGGATTACAGTTACCTCACGAGATATGGCCCAATGAGGGTGTTAAGGATATTTATGTTGCCAGTAACAAGTAATATGAGGGGGTAGTAGGCAACCCTAGTAAGAAAGATATAATGCAAATGAAATGTCTAAATGAGGTGCAGAATTTGCCTGTGGCAGATTGCCCACTGCAGGGCATATGAACACACGTTGTAAAGGCATAGTGAGGCCCAGGGCTGCCACCAGAAATTTTGGGGCCTCTGACACAGACCACCATCTGGGCCCCCCGGGGCCCGCCCCCCCCCAAGTCAATCCACATAACCTGCCCCAAGTCTGCCACACACTCACTAGCAGACACACACTAACAGACACACACACACACACACTAACAGACACACTCACACTCACTAACAGATACACTCACACTCACTAACAGACACACTCACACTCACTAACAGACACACACTAACAGTGAGACACACACTAACAGTCAGACACACACACACACTAACAGACACACTCACTAACAGATACACTCACACTCACTAACAGACACACTCACACTAAC